GGGGGGGTGGGGCTCAAAGAGGAGAATGGGAAACCGATCAGGCTATAATTTTCCAGGGTAATTTAGCACCCTTTACCCCAGACCTGGCCACAGAACGTCCACGAGTGCGGTTTGGGGAGTGACACAGCGTATAAAACTCCAATCCTTGGCTACTCTTGCAGCGTTGCTGAGGGATTTCCAAATCCTGGGAGTGATAGGGTCGAAGGTGAACGGGCTGAACTCTTCCACGCGGTGAATTTAGGGGAGGGGAAAAACACCAGTCAGGAGGGGCCTCAAAGTTTTATTTTTATAAGGGGCCTCACTTCTGTGTGATCCAATATCACCAATGCCATTAAGTCACAGTGGCTGGATGAAAAAGTAAAAATAAAAAGGGAAGGAGAAAAAGCGTAGTGTGCACATACACAGAAAATAGATCTTCCCTACTTTTGATGTTGACTGAGCTTTTGGGGGCGCCTAGGTCCTGCGACCGCAACTCCAGTCGCAGCCGGGAAGCCCCCTTCCGCCAGTCCAGGCGCAACCAGCGTGACGCAATGGAGGGGAGATCTGGCGGGCGCGCCGCAGACTTCAAAGCCCCGCCGCCACCCGCTACCCCCGCCAGCGCGCGCGAGTGGTACGGTCCGAGGGGGCGGCTCCTGGGGCGCGGCGACCGCGGCAGCTGATGCGCGCCGAGCTAGCGGGGAAGCGGGACTCTCGAGCCCGAGACCCAGAGTCCCCGAGCCCCCGTGCCGCCGGGCGCTGCGGGCCGGGACCCTGAGGAGGCCCCAGGAGAGGCATCTTCCTGGCGAGAGTCGCCCGGCGCGGGGGGCGTCGTGGCCGCACCGTTTGGGAAGGAGGACCAGGAGGAAGCGGCGCTGCCTGCCAGTCGGGAGGAAGCGCTTCCACCCGCGCCGCCAACGGTGCTCGTTTAACCACATCCGCGCCTGCACTGGAAACGCTTACAGTCGCCTGTCACCGGTTCCCTCCATTTTGAAAGGGAAAAAAGGCTCTCCCCCTTCCCCTACTCTTAGGAGCTGGAGCCGGAGGATCCGCTCTCATGGCATTCAGCCCTTGGCAGATCCTGTCCCCCGTGCAGTGGGCGAAATGGACGTGGTCCGCTGTGCGCGGCGGGGGCGCTGGAGAGGACGAGGCCGGAGGGCCCGAGGGCGACCCCGAGGAGGAGGACTCGCAAGCCGAGACCAAATCCTTGAGTTTCAGGCAAGTACACGCATCCCTGCCGAGATGCAAACGTGCTGCCATCCATCCATCTGCGGCTCATTCTGTGTGCGTGTGTGTGGTCGCCCACCCGCGTAACCATATTCATGGCAATGCTGCGTCCTTGCCTGTAACCAGGTCTCCGCTGCGCATTCGAAAGTTAAGGATGTTTCATTCTCCCATGTATTTTCTTTTCCCGGTTTTAGTGTGAGCTTTCTAAACCTAACCCAGAATCTGCAGTCTCTCCGCATCCCGGTTTGCCTCACTGCCTCACTTTCTCTAAGCTTCAGTCCCTCAGCCCCCGCCCCTACACACACACACACACACACACACACACACACACACCACACCCGACGGAACTTGGGGCCCTCCCTGTGGGGAAGAAGTCGCTCCATGTCCCGAAAATTCAATCTTGGTAAAGAAGGTCGCGTGATGACAGGCCCCTGGCAGCTGGTGAGAAATGGTGGTCTCTGCTACGCTGTCACCCGTACGATTGCGGAAAGCAGGTGACAGCATTTTCTGCCTCGGGCCAAGTGAGTTCCGAACAGGTAGAAGCCTGTCAAAGAAAAAGGAATCATGGCGAGAATTGGTTTGCTTTTTTTTTTTAGAAGGAGGGGCAGTCTTAATTTTCAAGCATGTAGGAAAGGGCTTTTGTGAGAAAAGGAATCTGTTGGAAAGCGCATTTTTGGGGTGTCAGAGGGAAGAATGACATCAAAATAAATGATGCTGGAGAAGAATCTCTGGAGGATAGAGGAGATTTCAGGGAGGCAGGATGCCAGACAGAAGCTGGATGAGGGCCCTGCTAGAAAACCGGCAGCATCACCCACAGACCAATCCGTGGTGAGGACCAGTGGGTTTCAAACTTAGGCAAAAATTCTGGACTTTAGCCTTTGCGGACACATAGATTATAAAGGGTGTCGGATATACCGTTGAAAGTGGTAATTCCTCATTTTTCCCCCTTGGCAGCTCGGATTCTGAAGGTAATTTTGAGACCCCTGAAGTTGAAACACCGATCAGATCACCTGTCAAGGTATCTTGTGAGTCATCACTAGGATTAGTACGACCTGGGGCCAAAACTCAAGGTAAGGAAAGACGTTCATTTTCTGCCCCTTTTGTTTTAAAGTTTTGAAAATGTAAATGAAGGAAAGAAGGTGTTAACTTAGGGCCATTTAAAAAGGTGTGGATTGTCTCCTTACTGAAAAAGCTGTTTTAAAGCTCCTGGCTTACTTGAAATGTATATTTGTTTTTTAGGAGTATGGTGGTCAGAGGCTTTCTTCCCTAAGTAGTTTGTACACTTGCAGTACGAGATTATCATTATCAAACCTTCCTGTTGGGCCCTTCCCCTCAAGCCCTAAAAAACAACAATGTGTGTAGGAATGCAGTGGTGGAAGTGTGTTAGATTTGGCTTCACAAATTTCTTAGGCTAAGTCACTGTCTACAGGAGTGTGGCTGGAGACAAAAATTATAGGTAAGAGTTGACTTTTTTAGACAAGGAGGAATCTTAAGAGGCTGTTTCAAAAATGCTTACCTCTCCCTCTTCCATGCAGGAAGGGTGAGAGCCCCTCAGTCTACCTAAGAAAACCTGGCACAGAGATTCTCTCTTAGCACCTCAGAGCCCAACCTTGAGCTTGCCCTTCATCTATAGAAGCTTCTGTTCCACTTAATTAGTATAAATCTTTTCTGTCCCACAGCCAGTTTTGAGTAAACTTTCACCTCTCCTGATAGAATTCATTTATCTAGGCACTAAGTAGAGTGCACTGTGATTCAGCAGTGAAAAAGCCCTTCTTTTACCGAGCTAACATCACAGAGAATGATGGACCTTTTAAAGGTTAAGTGAAATATATGTCAGTTTGTCTTAAGTACTATGGAGAAAAATAAAGCAGGGGAAGGAGGTATAAGGTGTATGGGGAAAGGAGATGCTGAAGGGTAATTAGGCGGAGCCTTATTTATAAGGGGACTTGAGCAGAGCCCTGAAGGAAGATTGGAGGAACAGCCTTGCAAATTCTTGAGGAGAGAACCCTCCCAGCAGAGGGAATGGCATCTGCAAAGGTCTGAGACAGGACCAGCCTGCCTTGGAATTGAGGCCTCATGGTCGGAGGATGGCAGCGTGTTTGAGGACCATGGATTGTTGAGACAGGGAGCAGTAGGAGCTGAAGTCAGCCAGGTAAGGGGAGGTCTGGATCATGTTGTAATGATGCATTGATTTTCTTTCTGAATGAGGTAGGAAGCCATTGGAGGATGTGTTAGCTTCCAAGAGCTGCTTTGAGAAAGTGCCATAAACTGATGGCTTAAAACAGCAGAAATGTGTTCTCTCACAGTTATGGAGGTTAGACATCAAGGTGTCTGCGGGCCATGCTCCTTCCAAAGGTTCTAGGGAAGAATTCTTCCTTGTCTCTTCTAGCTTCTGGCAGTTGCTGGCATTTCTTAATGTTCCTTGACTCATGGCAGTGTAACTACAATCTCTGCCTTCTTCATTACATGGCCATCTTCTCTGTGTGTCTCTGTGTCTTCACATGGCATTTTTACGAGGACGTTAGTCATTGGGTTTAGGGACCACCCTAACCCAGTATGACCTTATCTTACCTAACTTGATTACAGCTATAAAGATACCATTTCCAAATAAGTCACATTCACAGGTACGAGGAGTTAGGACTTCAGCATATCTTTTTGAGGCAACCCAGTTGAACTCAAAAAGAGAGGGCTTTGAGCAGAGGGTTTGTGCTTTGACTTCCTTTTAAAAGGCTAGCTGGTCGCTGTGTGGAGAAGGGACTCTAGGAAGTCCTTTTTATGGGCTTTCTCTATTTCTGTGTCTGTCATTGTCAACCTACAGTGACAGACAGAGACAACTTTCAGTTAGCTAGTTCCCTAGTGTTTAAATGTGATTATGACTTTTTCTCCCAATGGTTATTGTATGCTGTTACTCGGTAACTTCCTCACAGGTTGCCTAGGGAAGTCAAGTTCTCTGTAATAGACATCATGCTGGATTGTTGGTGAAATATTAGCTTTTTGTGATTTGATTTTGCTTTAAATTGTAAGCTCCATACTGCTCTTCCACTGCTGAAAATTGAAAATATCCTTCACTTTGCCTTGGCCTGCTTTTTACCATTTTTTTAAGGCAAAGACCACATGGGAACAGGCAGGTTTGTGTATTGGAGAAGATGTGTGTGGAACTCTCCTTTGTAGCACTCTTGATGCCTGGAAGATGCCACTTCTTTTTAATAGCTTCCTTTTCCTTCTATCGAGATTGGCAATCAGAGAGAGATTTGAAAGGTAGAAAAAAACTATTTTGTAGCCTTCTCATCAAATTTAAATAAAGCTCACAAGACTTGTTAAGTAGCTGTTTAAAAGCCTCTTTGAATTACCCTCTGCTTGGGCGGCCCCTTCCTCACCATTCTGTCAGCCGGTAGTCTGATTCATCCCGACAAATTCTTTGCTGATTGAATAGTGCTTGTATGGCCCAGGCCCCCAGAGCCATAGAGACCCAATTGTTTGGTCCTTCCTGTGCTGCAACTCTTTATTACTGGTTTTGGTAACTACACTCTCTTTTTCACTCTCTCTAAAAGGGGCTGGGGTGTAGAGTCTAGGAAATAACCACTACATATTATGAAATCTCTCAATTTAAGGTCTTTATATAATAGCATGATTGCTCATTGGCCTAGTATTTTCCTGCCTTCTAGGGCTCCTTCTACCCAACATCTAGAGCTGGGCCAGAGTCCTGTTGATGGCCTTGTCAAACATGAACAGTAAATGCAAAAATACAACCCAAACACAGGTCTGCCCAAGGAAGATATCAGTGGGCAAAAATTCCTAGAGAAGTCATTTCAAATTGAAGTCTAATTTCTGGGCCTGGATCATTCTCTTTTTCCCAAAATCATTGGTTATTTGGCTCCTGATAAAATTAGCCTTTCATATTTCTTTGGTTCCGGGACATAGTGGAACAGAGGTATAGATTGTATAAGTCTGTCTTCTAGAGTGATGATTTATGAATTACCCAGTCAAGGGTTGGAGTTAACATATGTAGCTTCCTGGTATATAATGGCCTTCAAATGTGTGGACTATATCCCATTTACCATACCTGTTGCCCTACCCTAACCTCCATCTAATTCTTTGAACACAGGGAAACATCTACATCTATTTCAAAGTTAATTTTCTCTTTATTGGAAGTTTTTTAGGGACTTATAGTATCTTAACTTTATAATAACTTATTAAGACAGAGTTGTATGCCATTCTAGAAATTAAACAATGGATGAAGCTGTAATTTTTTTTGTTTTATTGTTTGGTGCTGATGGACTATGATTCTATCCAGTGTTTTAGACTGTAAAGGCTGCAGTGGATGTCCTCTTCTACTTGAGGCTTCCTCCACTTTTATTTATAGATTGTTACCCAGTCTTGAGAGAGAATCTTAACTCATGCTGAAGCTCTAATATGCCCTTGGAAAAACTAGTTAAACGTACTCTGTTTGATGTGTTAATTAGATGCCTAGGTATTTCAAAGACATTCTGTCCCTCCTCCAGAATAAAAGGAAGGAGATAAACAGGATCAGTTCATAGACATTTACTGCTGGTGGCCTTGCGTGGAATACAAAGTTGTTTGCTGATACAGTTTTGGTAGTCTAGATATAAACTCAGCAAACTATGGTTCAGAAACCAAATCTGGTTTGCCACCTGCTATTGCTTGTTGTTGTTCTGCCTGAGAGCTAAGAATTGTTTTCTTTTTTTTTTTAAACACCTACAGCACCTGGTATTCCTAGGTGGTCTCCCATCCAAGTACTAACCAGGCCTGACCCTGCTTAGCTTCTGAGATCAGATGGGATCTGGCACGTTCAGGGTGGCATGGCCGTAGACTAAGAATTGTTTTTACATTTTTAAATAGTTGAAAAAAAATTTGTGATGTGTAAAAATTATATGAAATTCAAATTTTAGGGCCCATGAATAAAGTTTTGTTGGAATACAGCCACGCTCATTCATTTAGGGATTGTCTGTAGCTGCTTTCACACTCCAATAGTGAGATTGAGTACTTGGAACAGAGACTGAATGGCCAGAAGAGCCTAACAGAAAAATTCGTTGACCTTGATCCACACTTACAACAATTTTGGTAAAAATAAAAAGTTCAAGTAATTTGAAATAATAACTTTTTTAAAAGCGGCAAAGCTATACCAGTTTAATTAACAAATGAACTATTATATCTGGGTGCCATTAGTGTAGGCCCCTGTGGTCAGGTAAGGCTTTATTTAGGGAGAAACTGCTTTGGGCTGGCTATTTGTCTCTTGTGCAACGGAAGTGATGTAATTGGTTTGTCCATGTACTTGATTTTCAACTGACTAAAAGATCTCAGGAGTTATATTAGGGAAGAATGGAAAGAATTTTGGAATCACTTACTCCAAATACAAACATGCTCACTTTTATCTTTAGCTCATTAAGTGTTTTTAGTGTAACTTGAGGTGTTTGAGAATTGTAATTTGACTGTTGATAATGGCATATCATTCATTGGTATATGTTGTGTGGTTGGTGTGTGGTTGGTGTGATATATTTATTGAAATGTTTTAGACTATATATATGTAAGACCTAAAATGGAGATCTCATTAAAATCTAAGTCTTAGATTTTCAATTCTAAGGCTTTGGGTTAGATGTAGTGTAAATAAATGCTATGCAAACATTTTCCATTAGGTACACATTGAAGTGTTCCAGTCAAATCTATGAGTATGGTTCTCCTGGGGATTTAGTTTAACATCTTCTCCCTGCCCCCTTATCACAGGGATTGCTTTATTAGAGTTTTCTAGAAATATTGAGACTAATGAGGACCTTTAACATTACCTAGTCTGACAGTTCAGCCCATGTAACTTCTTCAACAACATCCCAAGTTAATGTTTTTATTTTATTTTTATTTTTTATTTTGTATATGTTTGACTTTCACAGTTTAAATTTTTATATTTTATTTTTTTATTTTATTTTAAGATGTTTAAGGCTTGAAAACTTCAGCAGCATGATGCAATTTCATTTTTTTTTCATATAATGTTTTTAGTTCTCCACTTGGAGATTTCTACTAGTTAGTAAGTAGGATCAGAGCTGTGTTTCTTTGTTGC